GCCTCCCAGCATCAGGGGCTCTGCCCCACCGCAGCTGGGGCTGCAAGGGGGAGGCAGCAAGCTGTGTCACCCCCAGAAGGGGACTTGGGTTCCCCGGGGCACAGAGGATAGAAGGGAAAGTGCAGACCAGCGTCAGAACAAGCAGCTCTCACCCAGCATCTGCCTGTGCTGCCAGGTGTCCCCACACCAGTCGGTCCCTGGAGGGTCACTGAGCCTGGATGCCTCTGCTTTTTTCCCCGCCACCACCCAGGCCCATGGCATCCTTGGAGGTTCCCCACTGCCCCCAGGGCACTGTGGACACCCACGGCAGGTCTGGAGCATGCCTGGCCTTCGGAACTACTTCCGCTTCCTCCCCTCCCTCCTTCGCCTCCGGAGCCAGCAGAGCACCCCCTGGGACATCCGCCCCTCCTCTTCTGCCTGGCTGACTGGCTCTGTCTGTCCGTCCATCCCGCAGGGCTCAGTGCACCCATCCGATGGCCAGCCCTCCCTGGTGTGAACTGGGACAGGGACCCTGGGGGGGGGCCACTCCGACCCCCCAGCTCTGGGGATCCCATGGCATCACAGCCTGGCCTCAGCCCCACTGCAAGGGAGGGCGCAGGGGACACCCCTGTCAGCCAGAGCCCTCATACTGCCTGGGTGCCAGGTGAGGGCTGGCAGCGGCTATCCAGGGTGCCCTGCTGAGATGCCCAGGCTCCCTGCCCCACACCGCTGAGCCAGCTCCCCCCACCCACCCCACACTGTGGGTTGGGAAGCACCCAGCACCACTATAGCAGGTTCTGAGTGCCCTTCTCTCTCCCAAAACTCACAGCCAGGACCTGGCACCCTGCAAAGTGCCCTACAGGCAGGGGTAGCCAGCAAGAGCGTTCTCCTGTGTCTGGGGACAAGGTGAGGGGGACAAAGGCGTGAGGCCACGATGGGCGCCAAGCATGGGCTCCAAGGGCGACAGTGAGCACCCGAGGGGCTGCCAGTGTGAGCTTTGCCACCGCCCATCCCTAGGAATGGAGATGCAAGGATGGATGCCCACAGGGACACACCAGGACCCCTCCTCACCTCTGCTTGAGCTTCTGCAGGTCGTCGAGCAGGTTGTCGCGCTCGACTTCGCCACGAGCCCGCTGGTTGGTGAGCAGGTCCACCTGGCGCCGGAGCTCCCGCAGCTCCTCCTCGTACATCTCGGCCACACGGGTGGGCTCCTTGCCCCGCAGGCGGTTCACCTCAGCCACCATGAGGGCATTCTGCTGCTCCAAGAAGCGCACCTTCTCGATGTAGTTGGCGAAGCGGTCGTTGAGCTCCTGCAGCTCCACCTTCTCATTGGTGCGGGTCTGGAGGAACTCCTGGTTCATGGCGTCGGCCAGGCTGAAGTCCAGCAGCTCACCAGCACCTTGGTAAGCGCTTTGGTAGGAGCGCAAGGGCGTCACACGGGTGGTGCGGAAGCTGGACAGGCTGGGGACAGCTGAGGTGCGGGACACCTGGTAGACGCGGGAGGTGACAGAGCTGCCGCTGCCGCCCTTGCCCCCAAAGGAGGCTCGGGAGAAGACCGGGGAGGCGCCGCCGAAGGTGCGGCGGTAGGATGAGACCCGCTGGCTGGAGGAGTAGGACTGGCTCATGGTGGCGGCGTGGGGTGGCGAGGCTGGATCAGGG